GGAATGCCCAAAATTTACGCAAGTATGAGACCGATGAAACAGTCAGCAGCGTATCCGGGACGACTGTCCAGGCGCCTGCTCTCGAGTAAAAGCAAGTCGAAGGGCAATTCGGGGGAAGGCTGGTTTTGCTTTGGTAGGTTGTGATAGACGTTTTCAAAAGCGCCCAATGTGCGCCCGTAATTTTGTAAAGCGCCCCGTTTTGCGCCAGCTCCATGTAAAGCGCCCGAGTTTGCGCCCACTTTTTCAAACAGCGGATTAATTATTATATGACACGTATGGCGTTATCAAAGGGGAAATGCATTACTGCGCTGTCATAGTGCCTATCACCAGCGCCCAGCACATTGCGCCCAATAAAGCGCCCTCCCTATTGCGCCCAACAAAGCGCCCTCTTTATTGCGCCCATATCGTTACTAAACGCCTTAGTACCATAAGAAAGGAGTGAATATCACACGAAAGGGAGTAAGTATCATGCGAAAGGGGGTAAAGTCACATGAAGGGGAATCAATAATCAGGCGCCTAACCCGATAAAAATAAACAAAGGGATACCAGTTGCAAGGGGTAGGCATAGAAAATGAATCAACAGGCGCCTACCAAAGGCAAACAACATAAAACTAAACAAAGGCAAACAGGTGCCTAACAAAATGACAGGAATTTTGATAAGTTCACACCGCAGGCGCCTTCCTCCGAACTACTAAAAGGAAGGCAGCAAATAGGCAGGCGCCTTAATACCATAAGATAGAGAATAAGTAAGCGGGTGCCTAACAGAATAAAATATGCCCCGCAAATAGATAACTGTTCCAAAAAGGGAGGCATAAATAAGGTATCAACTAAGGATAGCATACGAATAAAGCAAACAAGCGCCTAACAAAGAGACAGGGCCTTATGAAAAGTCTACACAGGCAGGCGCCTTCGAGCAGGAAACCTTTATTACTCCACCGCTTCATCCTCGGAATCGGATGAAGAAGAGCCACCGTCGCTCCCGTCTTCATCTCCACCATCACCAGCCGGCGCATCTCCACCATCATCATCTCCACCATCATCAGCCGGCGCCTCATCCACAATAGGGCGCCCAGACTCCATGAAAGAGATGACAAAGCCCACCATGGCCTGTACATCCCAAGAAATATCGGGGTGATCGGCGGCAAGTTTCTTATGCAGGATCAGAATGCTGTTTAACGCAGCATCAGCCTTAAGCGCCTTCCCCGCGCTCGATGACGCCAGATCCGATGACTGAGATACAAGTTGTTCCTTCTCTGCCGCGAGCGCCTGCTTCTCCTCCTTATACTTATTGTTTTCCCTCTTCAGAACCTTGTTCTCCTTCTTGAGGGCGCCCCGCTCCTCCTTCAGAATGTCGATCTCACTTCTGTAGGCGCCTGACTCCCGCTCTACATCCAATTTTTCCTTCTCCAGCCTCACTCTGGTCTCGGCATGCGCCCTCTTCTCCTCTTCGATCTGCGCCTCATAGTATTCACTCAGCCGTTTCTTCTCTTCGTCGATCTTCACTTGCACGAGTGAGGCGTTGGTCGCAGCCTCTAGTTGCGCATCGTTGCACAGTTGAACAAGTTCCTCCTGTCTTTTTGGGAAGTGGCGAGATTGTCCTTTGCAACGCCCAGAGAGAGGGCGGCTTCGTGGGCCTGGGCGCGCAGCGCCTCGCGCTCCATGATGCCCTTCTTCGCCGCCAACATCATCTACATAAGGGAAGAGCAGGAAAGGAGTGAGGCGCCTGAAAACACAATTTCTTACACTAATAAAATTAATGTAGGCAAAATAAGTATAAGGCAGAGAACTTACACGGGCGTTCATCTCCGCAACTTCTGCCCACGGATCTCCATCCTCCAACTCTTGAGGCGCCCGAAGGACCTTCCCAGCGGACAGAACCATATTGATGGCGGCGCCTCGTTCCAATGCTGCCCTATCCGAGCAGACAATGCTCACCTTATGCTTAGGGGGTTGAAGCCATCTTTTCAAACCCTCCGGCACGTCATCATCGCTTGAGGCGCGCAGGCGCTTGTCTGGTCCTCCTTGGACACCCTCCATCTTCCTCTTCTGTCGATTGGCTAAAGGCTCTTCATCCTCCGGCAAGTCAGGCGCACCCGAATCCAGATTAGGCGCCTGGGCAGTAGTAGTGGTAGCATCCTCCGAGGTGATCAAGTCACCTAGGTTGTCAGGCGCCTGCTGGCTGGCTACCTTCTTGGGATGGGTCCTTTTCGGGCGCCCCTGGCTTTTGCTCGTCAGGGGGACAACCACCTCAGTCTCCTTGGAAACATCTTCGGCGGCAGGCGCCTTCTGGGAGTTGGTGGAGGACGCCTTCTTAGGATTGTTGCTGGACGACTTCTTCTTTCCGCCCTTCTTGGTGGTAGGCGCCTTCTTCGCGGTCAGCCCGAGTTGGACAAACCGTGACTTCATCAACTCCGCAATTGAGGCGTAGTTGGCGCCTGCACCAAAAACAAAAACCAAGAATGTTAGTTAAAACAAGACAAGGCTCGAATCAATTACCAACGTTGTGCTATAAGCAGGCGCCCACCATCGCGGTAATAGGCTTCCAACACGGGCGCCCGGGCTGAGGTAGGACGCAAGTTTACCGGGCGCAAGGAAATAAGTCGGGCGCCCTCGATTTCCGCAGCGGTGGATAGGGTCACGTCAGTGTTGAAATATTGGTGATTGCCCATCACCCAACCCCTGGCAAACGAGGCGCCACTCTCGTAGAAGGAGTCCTTATTCGGCTTCATAAAGAAAAAACCCCTAAACCACTCCCTTCCCAACTTGGGACACTCGCGTAAAAAGTGGCCGGTGGGTAGACCTAGGCGCCTCTGAAGCGATAGGCAATTATCGGTGTATATCATGTTAAAAAAATAGTGAAAAAGGTTGAAGGTAGGCTCGACATTATGTTCGCGACACTTCAGCTTGAAAAGGATATGAACAAGGAAAACGGAGGGGGACAGGCGCCCAATCGAACACCGGCAAGTGGTAAGGATGCCTTCAAGAATGGAATCAAGGGGAAAGCGAAGGCCAAAGCGGAAATATTCCCGATAGATGCCTAGCCATCGGGGTCCGACTACCCCAATCCTTGCCGTATCTGGAGCAGCCGCGTAGGACCAGGCGCGTGGCAACTCCAAGGACGTGATGATATTCTCCAACTCGATCTCCTTTATGGTGGAGATCTTATTAGGCCCTGCGTCATCCAAAGATAGATGGTCGGTATCTCTAGGCGCCGGCCCTGTAGGCCAAGTATCTTCCCATCTTCGAAGTTTGATGGCTCCGCCCCCCTGGGCGCCTGCATCGGAGGAAGGCGGAGAGGTCGATGGGGCGGAAGAACGTGCGGATCCCGGGGAGGCGCCTAGAAGGGTCGAGGTAAAGGGCCAGATCAATGCTACGTCCTAGGAACTATGAACTACGCTACGTCCTAGAACTATTGAATTTACATATGTTCAAAGTTAAGCAAACTTACTCGGATCGGATCGAGGCGACGCCGACGCCGCGTTAGTCGTCGCGTCGGACGACGCTGCCTGAGCAGTGGGAGGCGCTGCGCCTCCACTTGTTTGCTCGCCGTCGAGGAGGGCGCATCGCGAGTAGTGGGCGCCTGGGACCGCGCGCCGGGAGTCCACGCTCCCTTCTCGCGTAGTGGATCGGGCGAGAAGTGCCCTTCCAGGGTGGAGATAACGTCGGGCTCGGCGCCCTTCTCCTTTGAAGGTTCGGCAGAGGAGGCGCGTGAGCCGGATTTTCGAGGCATCGTGAAAAAAAGCTAGGCGCACAGCAACGAGAGTTTAGAGAGATAAAGTTAGAGAGAAGGTGGATCCGCGCAAATGAGGATGGAGAGGGGCGGACCTTGGTATTTATATGGGGAGGAAGCCCAACGGACTGATATGGAGATGCGCGCCCGACCCTTAGATCTAATCCTCACCGTTCGTTTGAAATTTGAATTTCTAATTTGAATTTCAAATTTCAAAATTCAAATTTCAAGACGCACGGAGAGGGGGACATATGGGGGCGCGGGCGCTTAATAGAGCCCGAGAGGCTGGGCGTTCGATCAATAACGGGAGCAAGAAGGTAGACAGAGCAGGCGCCTAGCATAACACGATGGTGCAGGCGCCCCGCGTTAACCAAAGATCGGAAAAGAGTCGTTGTGTCAGGGATAAAGAAATCAACATGGTAAAGGTGGGGGGCGCCTAAACAAATCACAGGTTAGTCAAAGGGTTTGATTTGGGGCGTCCGGCGCCAATCATAGAGCTACAATGGGTAGGTTAGCCGCCCCACGAGTGGTCCAGGTCTGTTAGGCGTTGTGCATAGTTAGACGCTCATAATGGGCCATGAGCGCCTAACTGGGGGACAATTGTTGGGTAAGTAGAGAAGGGCCATGTAGAAGAAGGGCTTAGGAGTTGGGCCTTGGCCCAAAACCAACAAAGGAGCTAGGGCCTGCAAGAGTGAGGGTGAAGCCCACAGAAGGGTATTGGGGCGCATGAGGACAAAACTAGAGTGGGGACCAGGCATCTCCAACGGCTGGAGACTGGGAGTGCGCCAGCTGGCAAGTGGTCCCTGTAGGCGCCCAGGCTAGGGAGCCCAGGAGCCGCCACGTGGAAGCGCCCGACCGTTGGGCCGTACAGGGCATTTAATGGTGTGCTGACGTGGGGCTGAATTTCAGGAGCCTGGTCGATACCTCGCCTAGTATAAATAGTGCCCGGTAGGTAGCATTTACTCAGGTTGGCTTCTCTCACTAGAAACTTCTCTCGGCACTTATCTCACTAGATTGTTGACTGACTTGAGCGTTGGAGTGCTAACGGGCTTCTCAGAGCCCATTAGGCGCTTGTGGTGCAGGATCCAGGCGCTTAGGAGGGGCCAGAAGGAGGGAATCCCGGTGTAAGCGGAACTGCGACTACGTGGCACAAACAAAAATTAATTAAAAGGTAAGGAAATAAAGAAGATAGAGAAGAGAACATTTTGAGTCATAAGCACTTGAGATGCCCTGTTCGGCTATTTTGTACTCTTCTGGGCTCTGATGTCTGAACTTGTGGTCTTCAACACATCGACACTTCCTAACCCCAAACAAGAAAAACGAACAAAAAAAGAGAAAGAAAAAAAAACCCTCCATATTTGTTTGGTTTTAGTTAGTCCACCGCCAGGGTCTCTACAGTACATTTGAAGCCTTCATTATTGATTCTTCCCTCCTTTCTCTCCGTCTCTTTCTCTCTGCCCCGTGGTCAATGATCAATACGCCTACGCTCTGAAATCCATTTATTGGAACCCCCTTACTAAAAAGTCCAAGCAAGCCAGCAAAGCCCTGGACTTTCCTTCTGTCCACCATTACCATTCCTCTCACTGGGACGCCAAAATGGAGAATGCAAGCGAAATGGCGATTACCCAGATGAGGAAATCGGTGGAGAAGCTCGGTTCTTCGACTGAGGTTACCTTTCTTACTAGTTCACTACATCTTCTTCTTCTTCCTCTTGTTGGGTCTCTGACTCTCTGTTTTTTCTTTACCCCCTTTTGACCAGCTAATTTATAGAAATGGAGTATGTTTTGTTCCGTCACTTTTCATGACCCTCTTTCTAATGCTGTGCAGAAATACAAAGACCCAACCTTGATGAGGTTCCTGATTGCAAGGTCCATGGACGCCGACAAGGCTGCAAAGATGTTTGTTCAGTGGCAGAAATGGAGGGCATCTTTTGTTCCAAATGGGGTTATATCAGATTCCGAAGTCCCTGACGAATTGGTAGGTAAGAAGGTTTTCTTACAGGGGTTATCAACAGAGGGATACCCACTTGTGATTGTCAAAGCAAGCAAGCATTACCCATCTAAAGATCAGCTTCAATTCAAGAGTAAGTAAACTTCACTGCACCCATTTCTTTTCCCTTGGTAAATTGATGATTTCATGAACTCAAGTTTATGTCTTTGACATCGAAAATCTGACTCAAAGTTACTATTTTGAATTGACTTGTTAGACGGGCTTTAGAGTATCAGTGATCCTAGGGATGGTGGATTGAGGGAACAGCATATGAACATAACTTGTGATAAACGTCCTACTTTCCAGGCTGGGATCAGATGAGTTGTCTTGTTTGACCGAATTTTTTTGTTTGAGTACGAAGGGGATATGATTCATCGGAATTAACTATATTAAACTCAGGAAACCAACTTCTTTTTTTAGAGAAAGTTATCATTTCCTAAACGTGGAACCAGATAAACTATATTTGTTTAGCGACATTTCCCTGTTGGCTTGGTAGCTTTATAGCGTCTTAATTTTCTATTTCATGTTTCTGATCTGAGTTAAATGAGAAGATTCCTCTGATTTTGTCTGCTTTGTTTGTCTTGACAACCTTTGTGTGTATGGTCAACTATGGGACTTGAAGAGATCCGTTTGGCTTGTGAGAATATCCCTGATGAATGTTCTTCATGTTCATGTTTGACAGCTTGGCTTTATTTTCTGCATTGCCTCGTATGATCGTATCGCATTCGGTTCTTTGTATTAGAAGTGGTGGTCCGGACAACCTTTATGATATCTGAAACTATCTCAAATCTTTTCACTTGGCTTAAACATAAGAAAAGCTAGCCTCAGCGTTGTTGTGCTCCTTTTCACTTCATCCCAACTAGATGCACCCATGTTTTTGTGACAGTGGGTAGTTGTGTTTGGTTATTACAACTTAGGTTCAACTGAAAATGACTGTGGGAGGTTGGTTTATAAACGTGGAGTGCCACATAAAACAGGATCGAACCTTCTTTTTAAAGGAAACTATTGAACTGCATTTGCTGAACCGGGTTACTTTCCCAGTATGCTAGTTTGACTTCAAATGATCAATTACCTGATTATATCATCTGTTTGTCTTTTGATACAGAGTTTGTTGTTCATCTGCTGGACAAAGCTATAGCCAGGTACCACTTAATTTAGATGTTGGATGAGTTGTTCGTAGTACATACCCCCCGAGAGGGGTGGGGGCTAAAACTACTAGAATCGTCCCGGAATCACATTTGACATTCATAACTCGGTTGACAATCAGGATTTGTGGTGCTTTACTTTCCGTCTCATGTTGCTCTGTGTTTTGGCTGCTGTTGTTTTTGTTCAACGCTAATACTTTAGATGGCTAACGAAGCTTCAAGTGTTTCGTAACGAATTCTCTTTCGTCCTATATTCAGCTCAATCAAGGCAAGGGAAGTTGGAAATGAGAAGTTGATGGCCATCTTGGACCTGCAGCAAATTGGATACAAGAATGTGGATGCTCGTGGGTTAATCACCGGCTTCCAGTTTTTGCAGGTAAGGTTCTAGCACTAGCAGCCTACCATTTTAGCGTAAACCAAAATGTCTACATATGCGCCAGCCCCTTAGGCTTAGAGACGCATGTGAACTTTGATTTAGTGCCTTGATATTCTTTTTGCAGGCTTACTACCCGGAGCGCTTGCACAAACTGTACATCTTAAACATGCCACGATTCTTTGTGAGCGTATGGAAGATAATTTCGCGATACCTTGAGAAGGCGACGTTAGAGAAGGTAATGTAGATAGCATATTGTTGCCAGATCCATCAACCCCACCCAACTCAACCCACTTAAAACCCATCTAACCCAAACAGAGGCAAACTCACTGCGCCGGTGATGGGCAAAGGGTTTGATTAATGTGTTTTAGAAATTTTCATGTTGTAAACATTTTGTGCCTTATATTTTAGTGCATTAAACCCAACCCACCAACTGATGAACTCGTCAACCACAAATATGTCACAAATCCGACATATTTGCCACCTCTAGTACTTACCATGATGTAGCTGTTCCAAGATCCTGTATGTTCTGTATATATCTGTTGAACGAATGGATGATTGATGCAGATAATGATAGTTACCAACGATGAAGAGGCGAGAGTTTTCGTGAGGGAAGTCGGGGAAGAGACACTGCCAGAAGAATATGGAGGCCGCGCTGAGCTTGTGGCTATCCAGGATGTCACGTCGGCGTTTCCTCCATTGGAAGGTTGATTTTTTACCGCGAGACAGAAGAATTAGTTAGGCAGATTGCAATGGAAGCATAGCTATGGCGCATCTTGCAACCGTGTATTGGCTGGGCAGCTTTGTCAAGTTAACTTGCTTCACAAGACATGGTTAGTACCTACTGCACATTCAATAAAGGTGTTGTTAGCATGGCTAGTTCCAAAATGATCAACACACTGTGGACTGTAATTATGTTAACTCTAATTATATCAGTTGGAAGTCCTCATCAAAAAATTGTCTGAGTTGGAAAAGTATAGATGGATGGTCTGTCATATTCTTCTTCCCCATGTTGAACCTTACATATTTGTTAACGAGAACAAACCTTTCTCAATCTGATTTCTTATTTTCAAAAAGTATTTTTTTTTTCCGGCTCAACGATGTTTAGGACTTCTCATTGAATGAATCAACTGTTACATTATAGAAAACCAATTCGCTTAGTTTGGTGGTTTAGTTTATGCGAAAACAAGGTCGATGGTGTCTGTATCAATGCAATCCCCTACTGATTCGCCTTTGTGGTCGAAAGGTTAATTGCGAAACGAATAACCGAGCGAGGAGATTGCATTAATTAAAGCATCGAACTAGTAAAATCCTTGTGATCTTAGGAGCTTCTTCTGATTTTTTTTGTTATTATGCTGAATGAGTTGCATTTAGGACATTCCGTACGTAGGTTGGTTAGGGCATATAAGTTTGTGCTTTAGGACTTGCTACACAGAAGAAAAAAAATCTCTGATAGCCGCCGCGGTTAGAGAGACCTAACGAGCAATCACAAATGGTCGCCGCCGCTGCGGCCAGCGATCTTACCGAAGAAGACCGAATCTCAGAACTCCCTGACGAGATCATCCACAACATCCTTCATCGCGTAAAACGCTCGAAGGAAGCGGTGAGAACGAGCATCTTGTCACGAAGATGGCTCCAATTCTGGCGCTCTTACCCTGTTGTCGAGTTCCATGATCGCGAATTTGTTTTTGATTGCGAAGAAGCTAGAAACAGCAGGTTTCAAAGCTTTGCCACTGCGGTTTCCAGGCGGCTGCTGCAGCAGCAGAAAACAGAAGCGCCGATGTTTCTCGACGCCACGCAAATCAGAAGATCTACAGGAGTTGTTGCTGGCTGCTGCGTCGTTGTCGGAGGACGACGACGGCAGCAGATCGCCGCTTGAGATTGTGGTTAGTACTTTTCCGCCGGCTTATGGCAATCGCTTATCCTCTGCTTATTGTTTTCCCGATGGGGCGTTTTTGAATTGCCGCCGCACCAAATCAATACACCTGAGAGGTTGTGATCTGATGAGCCAGTATCGCAGCTGGAGCAGCAGCACCAAAATTTGTCTGGACAGTCTTCAGGATCTCTGCATCTCCGAATCCCGAATCGGCCAGCAGATGTTGCAGGGCTGCCTGGCGAATGCGCCGAATCTCGAGAACTTTTTTTTTTTTTTTTTTGGTAAAAAAATCTCGAGAACTTGATTGAAGGGGTTGAGAGCCTGGACCTCTCTCATCCCAACCTGAAAACCATCTCCATCGGCGAAACAAAACATGGCAATGTTCTGCAACTCAAGCTGATCTCAGCGCCACTCCTGCACACACTTCGCTTCCGAAACACAGACGAGTGCAAGCTGAATGCGGAGTCAGAAATTTTCGATTCCGAACCTCAGGTTCCTCTACATTATAAGCTACGCCTGGTCCTGGATGGGATCGAATTATTGGCTCGACGATGTCGAGGACTTGATCTCCAAGTCCCCTTCTCTGGAGTCACTTGATTTCCAACGCAGAAGCGATCGAAGCCGCTGCCTTGGCTGAGGATTGGTAACGACGAGGGTTCGGCTTTCAAACTGCGGACATTGAGATTGAGCTATTCCAGGATGGAGAAGCCATTGGAGATTGATGCTCCTAATTTTTGGTTAGTCTCTGCATCACTACTGACTCTGTCCTCGACATTGGAGCTGTCAATGTAGCTTCCAACTGCAAATGTGTAGTGGATTGGCATATCTGCTGTGAAGACAGATGGACTGCAGAATGGTTCGTCGAGCTGAGGCGGTATCTCGCGGCATTAACTCGATCGTTCCGTAGCCAGTCGGTTCTGAAGCTGCACTTCCCAGTATTCTCCTCCTCCATACCAGAGGTATGTATATGTCTGTTACAGTACAGATACTGAATTACATGTTGATTTCTCTCCATTCACTAAGATTGACATTCATTACTTTATCAAAATTGGAAGGTGTCTTTCTGCTCGAGTGAAGTTGAATATGTATCCTCTCCTCTAGTGGAGGTGCAACATTTACAATTTGGAAGGTCTTTCTCGTTTCGACAGTTTCACTCGATGAGTGTAAAGGATATTCCTCTTCTTGAAGCTCTTCTGTGGACTTGTCATCCCAAGACAATGTCCATAGTTTATTCTATTCCTATGTACTCGCTTGGAACCATAAGCAGATTTCGGGTTAGTCCCAAACTCATCTTCCTTTCCAAATATACAAAATTTCGAGTTGAATTTCCACATTGGCTAACCTGTGTTGTGTTGTGACATGCATTCAACAGTATGCTTGGGAGCAGGTTACAAACAAAAACCTCGAAGATTGTTGTGGAGAAGTTAAGTGCTGGAGACATCAACCGAAAGATGTGAATATGATACCTAAAATTGTCGATGAGAATTCAAGTCTTACGGAAAATTATATTTGCTTTACATTGTTCTAGTGCGACTGTGAGTGTATTATTTCATTTTCTCAAAATTGACATAATTTTTATTCTTTATTCCATATTTATCTGGCTTATAATGTTCATTTATTTGATTTGAATATAATTGGAACCCTAGGTCTAATATTTCAAAGTGCATATAACAAGTGTGAACTCATAGCGAACTCATAGCGTACGTAAGGCGAACGCTAGCATTTGCCATATATATATTATGAAAATGCTATCTAAACCTTGAATCAGCAAGATTTTTTGGCAGGATACTATACTCTAACCTTTAATGAGTGAACTCTAGGCTCTAATTATCTAAATCATAAACTATAAAGTATAAACCCTAAGATGGTGCATTGATTTTTTTTGCCTATATTTGAACGAATCATAATCGTCGATTATTGTTTCTAATTAAATTGATCTTGGGGTATAAGATTTAGAGAATTAAGACCTAGATTTTGATCTTTAAGGGTTAGAGTATAGTATCATATCCAAAAGATCAGTCAATTCAAGGGCTGGATAAAGTTTTCTTACTCAAGGTATGCGGTACCCCGGATTTCACCCTAGGTGCCGTAGAACTCCCCATATATATGGTAAAAACTTGTGTATTCCATAAGTATATCTTTATAAAAAGAAATCTAGTGGACTGAGACTAACAAAGAGTGACTAAATCCGGAATGTTTCAGTAATTTGAGTGACCAAAATATTGATAATAAGGCTTATCAAATCGGATGTCCACCTCTAATAGCTGCTATAGGAGAACTAGAAGAAACCACCAAATTACAAAAGAGGGAAAAGAGAAACGAAAGCGAGGACGAGAGCGAGAGCAAGCAGAAGAACTCTGATTCCATGCTAAATGATTGAGTGAAGATGAATCGAAATAATTTTCAATAAGGAAAAAGAATAGGGTTAATATTTTCGTATGGCCTGAACTTTGACCAAAATAAACATCCTGGCCAATCTTTTCGATCTATAACATCCTGACCCGAACTATACACCAAAATAAACAATTTGGCCAAATTCGATGTTTGACCGTTAACTTGGACGGTCAAATGCGTTGACTAACGGTCAACGCGCCACGTCACTGCCAAGTCAGAAGATCTGATAAATATTTAATTTTTTTGTTTTTTATTTTTGGTTTAATTAAGGTATTAGATGATTTTTTTAATTTATAATAATTTAATTAAGGAATGTGTGGAAATTGTGAATTATTTTAAATATTTTATGCTGACTTGGCAGTGACATGACGCGTTGACTAACGGTCAACGCATTTGACCGTCCAAGTTAACGGTCAAAAGTCGGATTTGGCCAAATTGTTTATTTTGGTGTATAGTTCGGGCCAGGATGTTATAGATCGAAAAGATTGGCCAAGATGTTTATTTTGGTCAAAGTTCAGGCCATACAAAAATATTAACCCAAAAGAATACTACAACTCTGTATGTAGGCTTATATATCCTTAGTTTACATACAGTTTGGTATAAATGAATTCCATAAGTTTTGAGGAATTCATTTTGAAATGAAACTTTTTTGTGTTTGATATTTAAAAGAATTCATTTTCAATTCTAAATTTTGAATTCTATGGAATTGGAACTAGTTATAGCAATTCCGAGGAATTGAGATGGAATTTCTAAATGAATTCCACAAGTATTTACTAATTATAATATAATGACATAATTATCCTTGTTTATTAACTAAACTACTTATACATATGACATACCAAACAAGGGAATTCATTTGACAATGAATTCTACATGGCAATTCATTTTATTTCTAAAGATTTGAATATAACATACCAAACACAAGATTTCATTTGACAATGAATTCTATATGGTAATTCATTTTACAATGAAATGAATTCTCGATTCATTTGATACCAAACAGTCTGTTAGTGAAGAGAGAAAATGAAGGGAAATTATCAAAATAACCAGTCTAGCAAATCACACTTAAGTAATATAATTGATTATATAATGATACATTTAGGAATGGTGATAGTTTAGTTGAGATAGTTATAATATTTGTATCGTTCATAATGCACCATTTTTTAAATTTTTATGCAAAAACAATAAAAGTAATGTTTATTCATAAAAAACAAATATTATTTGCTTGATTTAACAAATACTTGTGTTGGGGGTATTACCCAGCGAGCTAGGAGATTGGGCTCCCCAAAGAGAGAGCTAGGGGACAAAGCCCAAAAGGGTAAGAGCCAATACTCATTAGTGGCCCTCGGGCCCAAGAAAAGGGACCTCAAGAGTAAAGTACCAAGAGCCAGGTGGCGGCCAACCGGCTGGTGGACCACGGCCTGCGGGCGCCTGTCAGGTGTCAGGAGTCTGACAGGACGGTTAGCTGTCTCACATAGCACCAAAAGCCAGGCGGTGACCAGCTGGCTGGTGGACCACGGCCTGCGGGCGCCTGTCGTATGTCAGGAGCCTGACAGAGCTGTGGAATACCAGTCAGATGTCAGGAGTCTGACAGGGCAGTTAGCTGTCTGAGGGCGCAGAGCATTAAATGAGGAAGGTGACGTGGCAAAGATCAACCTCGGGTTCGGTGAGTATAAATAGGGGCAGTCGACAGCATTTACGCAGGTTGGCTTCTCTCACTAAACTATTACTCGACACTTATCTCTCTAAAAAGGTGCACTGACTTGAGCTTCGGAGTGCTAACGGGTCGGCCAAGGCCCTTAGGTGCTTGTGGGTGCAGGTTCCAGGCGCCTGAGTGACGGATAAGTGGAAAAGGAGAGGATAAACATTCGGAGGTATCTAGGCTCAAACAATTGGCGCGCCAGGAAGGGGCGATTAGGCGCACGAAGACGGTGAGCGCATGGAAAACATGAACGAAGGGAATGATGGAGAAGGCGATTCCAGGTCGGGGAACTCGTATCACGAGGGAGGCGAGCGTCAACTGAGTCAAGAGAGGAGCATGGATGGGGAGGGACAAGGAAGCCCTAGGCGCCTGTCCGCTGATGGTAGCGAGTCTTTGACGAAAAGAGAATTGTTTCGAATCATAGCCGACCAGGATCGGGCCATAGCGGCGCTCAAGAGGGAGTTGGAAGGGGAACGAAGTGAAGACGTGATGATGTACAGCCCAGGGGCGAGAAAGCGGGAAAGAATGGGGGAAGATTCAGAGTCTCTGCAATACGGACCGCCGCATGCCTCCGAGCAGGGGCACGACGCGTTTGGGCGCCCACGAGATGGGAGGCTAAATATCGAGCGCGCGCAAACGGGCCCAGAGGACGTATGGGCGCCTAGGAGGATTGCTCGAAGGTTTGGTGTTCGGCAGCCTCTGGCACGATGCATCCTAATGAGCCAGCGGGAACTACGATCCCCCCGTTGCCGAGTTATGATGGGGTGGCTGACCCGGAGGACCACCTGAATAGCTACTTCACTAAGATGCAGCTCTACAACAGCTCTGACGCCACATTGTGCAAGGTGTTTCCATCCACATTCGCAGGCGTGGTCTTGGATTGGTACCACCAAATTGAGGAGGGGCGCATAGAATGTTTCGAGCAATTTGCTGAGTTGTTTTTGTCCAAGTTTGCAAGCCGAAAGCGTCGGACATTGACCATAGGGGCGTTGTTTAAAGTCAAACAGAGGGAAGGCGAGGCGCTCAGAGAGTTCTACGATCGATGGATCTCGGTTGCCATGGCGGTCAAAGATGTTCAACCAGCCGTGTTAGGGGTCTGCTTGGATGCCTGCACCTCAAGCGAAGAGCTATGCCGGGTCCTGTCCAAGCGAGATGTAGCATCCACCGAAGACCTTGACCGAAGAGTACAAAAGGTGATTATGTTGGAAGAAACTTTGGCGGCGCGAAGGGCTGAAAAGAGGCGCCTAAGAGGGGATGAAGGTGAGGTGAGGCAGGCGCCCAGACCTGGACCCGGAAATTTCGTCCCACCAAGGAGGCCAGAGGCGCCACGCCTTGTGCCGAGGAGTGCTGCAAATTTTACAGAGTACAATGATACCCTCAAGAATGTACTGCAATATGTGAAGGATAGGGGCTACCATATACGGTGGCCGGGGCCCATGCGCGGCCAGCCTAACGAAAAAAATCTTGACAGGTATTGTGACTTCCATCGCGACAAGGGGCATCACACAGCCGATTGTTACCAATTAAAGTCCGAACTTCAAACTTTAGCAGACAAGGGCATGCTCAACGACTTCGTTAGAAGGATGGAGGACAGGACACATCGAACCTATGTGACGAGGCAGGCGCCGGAACAGAGGAGGGCGCCTGAAGAACCAAGAGCCCAAACCAGGGTGCCGCCCACGGTCAGTGAAGCGCCCAAAGAACCAGAAACTGAGCCGGCGCCTATTATTCCACCACCTCCGTTTGAGGTGAATCAAGAGGGAGAACCTGGTCGTGTAAGGCTTACAGTCGAGTCCATAACGGGTACCCTTGACTTGAGAGAGAAGTTGGAAAGATCTAGGCGCCTGCGAGCTGCGTCGCTTGAAGCCAGAGAATCCGTACACATCCACTTTAATCAGGAACCGGATGAGGCGTGCCAAGTTCCGTCGGAAGAGGCTCTTGAGATACAAGGGGTGATAGCCGGATGTAAGGTGAAGAGAATGTTGGTGGACACAGGCAGCTCTATGGATGTCCTCTTCAAGAGCACCTTCGAACGAATGCAGCTGGCGCCTGAGTTGGTGCGTCCCTCGAATTCGGTGTTGGTCGGATTCTTTGGGGCGCCTGCTCAAGTCATCGGACGTGTACGCCTCCCCGTGACTCTGGGGGACGAAGCGCATTGCGTAACGCATGCGGTGGAGTTTGGCATCGTTGACTGTCCATCGCCTTATAATGTGATACTTGGCCGACCTCTTTTGGCGCAATTCAATGGGGTAGCCTCGACGTGCCATCAGACGCTGAAGTTCGTCGCTCCCCAAGGCGTGGGTGTCTCGCGAGGGAGGAATGTCCCGCGATACGCAAGAGAAGAGGAGTCAAAGAATCGAGGTCGGAAGCATAGACTTAATATCATAGACATCCGTCCGGAGGAGGCGCCCAGGGCGGAGCCGGTAGATGATGAGATAGCTGTGATATTGGACGAGGGGCGCCCAGACCAAATGATACGAATATCATCGCAGGCGCCAGAGGCTATGCGGGC